CAGCTTTCCAAGCCAGATAAGGTCTGTGACTGTAAATCCTCCATTGAAAGACTTTGCTGGGTGTGAATGAGCAGAATTCACAGCAAATTAATAAAAGGGTTTTTTGTCGGGACCAGGAGTTTGCTTCATGCTCTTGGGAAGCCTAGGTCAGAACAGATACCTGTATTTTAGGAATTTTCTGGAGGTCTACCACTCATCTTCAGTTGTTTCTGCTGTTTTCTTAAGCTGTCCTTCCAAAAAAGCACAACGTAAAAAAATTGAGGACAATCTTGATGTAGACACTGTTCACTCTCAATTGGTTTCTCTTTTCCTTCTGGATAAACACACCATAATTTTTCAAACCCCTGTGTTTATCTTGAGGTTAGCTTGAGGTTATACACCTTATTAGGAACTGCTACCATGGGTGTCCCCCCTTTTCAAATAATTGCCCCTTGAACTAAGCATCACACCATCTTTATCAGCTGAATTTGTATCTCAGATAATGTGAGAAGGACCCTCACTGCTCTGAGGCCTCTGACTTTTGGGGTGCAAAAATGAAGGTTTTATGGTTCCATACAGACCACTCCTGGACGTACCTGCACAAGTGATGTTCTGTGAATTAACTTGCTAGTGAATTTGCTTTATTAACAGATCACAGAATATTAACAGCCACCAAGGTGCCACTTCTTTCTGTTCCTTTAGGCTGGACTTCTGAAAAACCAGACTCAGATTAAATTCCACAAGGAATCTCTTAGCACAGATGGAAAAGAAAAAGCAGGGCATGATTCAAATAACGACAAGAGACTTTCTGAAATTTAAATCCTCGCCTTTGTGTGTATTTTAGGTCTGACCGAGCATTATTGGAGCAACAGTCAAATACTAACCTGTTAAACACATTTTGTTCACCCGAAGGATGTCTGTAAGTGATTTTGAACAGTTAGCAGAAATAGGTAAATATAGCAATATATCTATATATTTTGGGCCATCAAGTGGTATCTTCAGGAGATTTGGAACATAACAAAAATTAGTTTGATGGGATTGTGTATTATATTTAAATTAACAAATTCTGCCGTGGCCATATTGTCAAAAGCTATTTGGGCTGAAATTTAGATGTGCAGAGTGTATATGAATTATTGGTATGCACTTCCTGTGAATTTGTAGGAAATAATATTGCTCTCATCCTAAATTGTGGTGTAAATGGAAGTATTACCGTATTTTTAAGAGTATAAGACGCTCCAAAGTATAAGATGCACCTAACTTTTGGGGTGGAAAACAAGAAAAAAAATCTGCCTCGGCCTCCCAGCAATTTTTCCCCTTGCAAGCAAATAACCCTTTTCAGTTTCAGCACAGTTTGATTAGCACAAGCAGCTGATTGTTGGTTGGATCGGCCTCCTGATGATCAGCTGTTTCAGGCTGCAGGGATTGCCAAAGCCTATTGCCGCCTCCACGGGCCACATTTTCCGCCTGTTCCAGGCAGTGAGGATCGGAATGGGTGGGAAATGGTGCATGAGGAGGCCAAAAAAGGATGCGTAGAGGCCAAAAATGGGATGCGGAGGCTGAAAATTGGATGCGCAGAGGCGGCAATAGGCAATGGCAATCCTGCAGCCTGAAACAGCTGGGGAAGGCGAAAATGCTTCCAACACCACCGTGGTGCTGGAGGCTGACTAGGCCACACCCACCATGGTCATGCCAACCCAGCAACCGGGCAGAGAACCCGTTGCTGACATTTTTGAAGCCTACTCTTGTTGCTTACTTTTGCTTTTGGGAAAACCGATGGCTTGTCAGCCCTTCTAGGAATGGGAGTGTGCAATAATCCAGCCTGGCCATTTTTCATTTAACCTGAAGGTGGTGCTGTAACAGTAAACCAGCTATTATATATTTTATATAAAGGTTTTTTTCCAAGTTTTAACAGGAGGGGGTGTTGAAATTGTGATTATTTTCTCACTGGAAAAGATAGTTGAGTAAGGTCATAATCTAAGCTAGTGAACAGCTATAAGAAGTAAAAAAAAATATGCTAAAATATTTTACTTAATGGATAGCTGCAGATTATTGGATTAACAGTCATTTTTGTCTTGTTTCCAAAAAAAAATGTGAGTTTCAATTTTGGTTTTCTTCAGAACTGCAGAAAGATGAAGCTGAAAATACAGCAATGGGAGAAACCAGGAGCTTTTCTGCAGCGCAGTCAAATCAAGAATTTGGAATAAGCCTCACTCACCCATACTATGATGTGGCTCGACATGGCATTGTTCACTCTGCAGGTACTGGATTCCTTGTTGGGTTTTGTATCCCTTTCCCAGCTCAGTGGAATTTCTCCTCAGTTCTAAGTTGCTTCCCTCCTTGATTAGTTTCCACCCATTGCTTCTTGTCCTGCCTTCAGGTGCTTTGGAGAATAGTTTGACTCTCTCTTCTTTGTGGCAACCCCTGAGATTTATTTATTTATTTATTTATTTTATTTTATTAGACTTCTGTACCGCTTAATAGGGCTTTCAGCCCTCTCTAAGTGGTTTACAATTTTTTTTAGCAAATTGAGTCAGC